AGAGCACACACATTCATTAGACAAAATTTTGCTCTCATTTCGGGTAGTAGCTGCGTGGAATGACCTTCCTCCGAAGGTTGTCCACGCTGTTTCTAGAACCCAGTTTAAAGCACTATTAGACATTTATTTATGCAAATCCTCGCGCTAGCAAGCATACTGCCCCGCGTTGAGAACATAAAGAGCAGTGATACACCCTTTTTTCACTTGTGCCTTTCAGGTGAACGACAGCCACTGACCGACAAGAACGAAACCGACCCGGGAAACTTGGGCAAAAGCCTCGATCCTGTGTAGCAATCCGTGAATCATACTATACTGACCAATTAGCTACGAGGTTACTGTTTGGTCCTTTGCTGGATAGCTGTCTCTCAGGCTATTGATGGGAGTAGGTCTTCCCTATTTTTCGATCCTGTGTAGCAATCCGTGAATCCCTGTATACTGACCAATTAGCTACGAGGTTACTGTTTGGTCCTTTGCTGGATAGCTGTCTCTCAGGCTATTGATGGGAGTAGGTCTCATCTTCCCTATTTTAACCTTGCCATTAAGACACAGCAGCACTTCGTTCTCTTCGAACATGCGACTGGATTTGCACTTTTCCGTGTGAAGGAATTTGATGAAATTACGCGTAATTTCACAGCTCACGTCAATGCTTTTATCAAACCTGTTGGATTTGTTCACTTCAAATCGGTTAACGAGGCTGTAGAGAACGTTCAGGCGGTTGCAGATGGGAATGTTTCTCTTTTACTTCGCCAATTTATTCGATCCAATGTGCCGCCAAAGTCAAGTGTTTTGGGCGTTAGTGAGGAATCACTTGGGAAGGCTATCCTGTACGTTGTGAGCTAGTCAATATTTATAGCCCATTTTAATTCCGTTGTTCATCCGCGTTCATTATATATGTCACCATGTTTTGTAGGATGCTTTTATATAGGCACTCGTAGTTTTCGGGCGGTGGTTAGCGATGCCCATAGCAGCTGGTACCGATGTTTGTTTCCCCCTCCCCAGTGAAGTGTAGGTATATCACAGCTTGGGCCGTATTTTCTCCATCGATGACCGGGTGAGTTGGAGGCCGGTTGCGTTCTTCACGTTCTTATCTGACAGCCTGCATCAGTACCATAACTGTTACGACCTTCTTGCATGCCAGCGTTCGACGTTGGACTCTGCACAGTTCGCCGGTAACGCAAACCCAACCGCATACTCATTCCGTGGGGCACCTATCACTCGCATAAGCTTTCAGCATGCTTGTTATAGATGCCGAGGGCGAAACCGAGGAGCAAGGCACCTAAATCTTCATTTCCAAATGTCAGAACTAACAAGGCTACGAGTTACACGAGGATGAAGGAACGATGTATTGGATACAGCTTCCTAGTTACGGTCGGTAGATTTAACCTCTGATAGCAACTAAGATGAAGGGATTGGTGGTAAGACCACGCATGACGAAAGCTGACTGAATGAAGTAGTTCTTCGGAAACGCGAGTGGTGTACAGGGTGAAGCCACCAGCGTACGAGCTCACATTGATTGTGAATATGTAATGTTGTTGCGGTCTGAGAGCAAGATAGAGCACGTCTTTGAAAAGGCCTCCTTTTTCTCATTACAAGGCTTTGCTGAAATAAAATGACGTCACACGGCAGTGAATCACCAAGGCGCTCTGATTGTGATTGCGGAATTGTAAAACGGTTTATGTATAGAGGAGTACCACAGCAATTGTTAAATGACGACAGTTTACTGGATTGCACTTCTTTAACTCCCGATACATTTTCAGTTGGGTTGAATATCACTTCCCATGATTTAGTACGAAACGGTGGCCTTGTAGTGGCTAACGGCCCTATGGAGTTTCTAGTGTACAAAACAAATTACTAATGTAAGCCAGATACAAGGTCACAAGGAGAAAAATCCAAGTAAATCTTGATTCACAGTTCAAAGTAGGAGATTCCGTATTCCGTTGAACCACCACACCAAGAATAGTTCTATCTTCCTGGTGTTCCAAATCTCCGGTGATCGAAATATTAATCCACAAGTGTGCATATATTAGTCCAGTGTTTGTAGCTAAAATGTTTGTTCACGTTTAGTGTTAGCAGCAGTCAAATATAGCCAACCGGCGGTCACAACAACAGTCACTCAGCAAAAGTCTCAAAGTCACGCTGGACCCACGAAGCGGGCGGTAGCGGTTATATTTCAATAAAGGAAACTTTTGTACAGCGATGTGACTGATAATGGTGGGGAAGAAGAAAATGATACTGAGCATGAAAAAGAGCAATTTACAAGTACTACAGCCTTCATTACGACTCTGATTCCATTACTTCGGCGGTCTTATAATTCTTCAAGAGCTTTTTTCGCTGAAATGATGGCAGTTGTCATTAGTGTGTGCATTTCTCATAATGGCCAAACAAACCTCTTACGTATGTCGTCATGCACAACAATCTAAATAATAGGCTTTTTGCGAAAGCTGCTCTCTTGCTGAAGGGATATTAGTGCAGTGTGGCCCTCCTTGATGAGTAGTCTAATTCCAAAAAACAGACTATGGCCTATTTTACCCGAAGAACATGTTTACTGTCGACATAATAGGCATTTCTCAATTGTACGTGCAAGTACCCATCCAACGATTTGGTCAGATTAATCTACGGTTACCCAAGGTAGGTCGCTAACAAGAATAATCAGCTACTTTGCACAACAGTGTGGATGCACATTATTGGTGGGTACACCGTTGATCCACATTACAGTTCGAAATTTCATGGTATAAGAGTGCAGTCACTTTTTTATCGAGTGACCTGAGGTTTTTAGTGTACACTTGCTACAGCCACGAAGATTTGTGCTTTACTTTTGGGGAGCAACGGCTTGTACAGTAAGCTATGCCTCCGGAAACGGTTGATGCCGAACCTTCTCGGCGTGTAATCCTTTCACTTCATTTAAGTTGGAGTTGGAGTTGGATTAGGTCCGCCATACGTTTTTCTCTGGATTTTCGCGCATCTGTTTTCGTTTCTCATCATCTCGAACTCTTATGTTCAATAAAGCCGGAATTCTCCAAGAAACATCAGTATCTAACGTTAGAACATAACATTATATATTGGATCGCTGGATACGGAAATTCGGTCAGCTTTAGGTACATTCGTACGTCGCTTTTTCGGCCTCACAGAGGCCTCGTTTCATTCAGGTTTGAAGTTACTTTTCAACCTGGTTCCTTTTTTCGATGTGAAAACTACGAATTCTCGTGTCCTTGTATAATGGGAATCTGTTTTTATTATATTAATAACCCACTTACAAACAGTGGCACTTGGTGCTTCATCTGTGCCATCTGCTTGGTTCCACCGGTGACCAACTTTTTACGGGATTTGGTATTTTATGCGATCACATCCGTACCTTTACGACCCACTCTGGGCTACTTATTGCACTTCCAATGGGGTGGTTGTGCTAGTACCAGTCCTCAGGACTTAGAGCGGATTTCATCGGAGCTGGTGCCTCCAGAACTTTCATAAACTTCTATATTTTCAGCGCACTGGATTTCGGATTTGAATGTGTTTGGCACGATGCAATCCGTGAAATACTCCGCGTGATCCGTCTGAACTTTGCGCGATTAGCAAAATCGTTGCTGACACAACCAGGAGATGCCCTCTCACTGGCTTTGGGTAGCACACGCAAGGCAACCACATCAGGTCTGGAAGAAGTGTCCGCTGGTCGTGTTGCAGAGTCTCGTGCTCGTCTGGTTGTTGCTTTGGCACGCGCGAGAGCACAACTGAATCTTCCACAGCACCTCGCCGACACAGCTGTGGTGCGGGCACTAACTCTGATCGATGAGTTGGATGCAAACTTGGCACGATCTGTCACTCGCCTGAGAGCGTCCTACACTGCTCATTTTCCGGAATTGTGTCAACCCTCGTTCAACAATTGTCCTTACCTTGAGGACTTTGATCTAATCCGCCTGATTGCTTCGTGTCCTTCCCGACCAGCGATACTGGAGTCGAACGATTTAGAATCTTGCCTTTCTGACCCAACATTGGTTACGAAGATCAAGGAAGCTGCTCGTGATTCAATCGGATGTGACCTACAAGAACCAGATGCTGAGAATTTGAAAATTTTTGCAAGTAGACTCGACAGGATGATACAGGTTAGATTTCATTTATCTACAGTACTCCCCGGTTCCATAGGAAATACCCCGTGTTTTCTTCGTGATCGGATGACCTGTAGGAACCGTTCTGCGTTCTTTCTGCACTGAGACATTAACAACTCACATTTTTAACAGCTTTCATTTTTCCCGAGGTGCATGCTATAGGTATCAAACACGTTTGAACACCCGTGCTACCACGAACCCGTGTAATGGTCGCCGGTTTCCGCTGTCTGAAACGCCTGTGGTTATTGGGAATTCCGGAGCTATTGAGTTATCGTGTGTTGCTTCAACTTCAAATTTCAGTGTGGCCTCTAGGCGTTACAGTTACACCTAGACTGGTTGTATTTCGTCTTCCTTGAACTAAGGAAACCGTTGCATAATATGATGTTTCCTCTGAGGACTGGAGTAACGCATTTCAACCTCCACTTGATCTCTGTTCTTACATCTGAACGCACGTACTTCAGACTTGCACACATTAACGTTTTTGTAACCTACTAAATTTTACCTCGAGATAGCTCAGTAGTTAAGGCGCGAACTTACTAACTGGAGAGTTCCGTAACCGTTGCATAATATGATGTTTCCTCTGAGGACTGGAGTAACGCATTTCAACCTCCACTTGATCTCTGTTCTTACATCTGAACGCACGTACTTCAGACTTGCACACATTAACGTTTTTGTAACCTACTAAATTTTACCTCGAGATAGCTCAGTAGTTAAGGCGCGAACTTACTAACTGGGAGAGTTCCGTGATCCGATCCCAACCCCAGTATCTCGGCTGCTGACTAAGCCTGGGCAACCCCACAGTACCTCAGCCCTCGCGCTTGTTTCTGGTGACGTGGAAGCTATACACCAAAAGACTCACAGCCCAAACATCAACACCACTGAATATCACCGGACTTGATCAATATAGATCATGATCCAGCGGGCTCGAAGTGATCACCTTAGTTTTGAGTGGGATTCCAACTGCAATGTTTCATGTGGATAGTTGTTCTGTTCCACTTGTAGACAGAGAATAGCGCTCCGCTTCCATTTAGTAGTAGGATTCTTGCTTGTTACTGATCAGACAATTGCTTTTGGTGCATCTGAAACCACCCACTGTCTTTTACCCTGTGACCAATCTTTATGTCTAGTTTTATTGGATTCCTTCCTCTGGATGTTGTAGTCCGTAGTTTTTCGTGTCTATTGAAGTCTTCCATGGCTACTTTCACGTTGGACGTATGACCGAGATCTAGGTAGCCTCGACAAAATGCCTATCCAACATTGGTTCATTTTTGGAGGATACAATACCATAAACTCGGTCGGTGCAGACTGTGTTGTCTTTGGTAGTTCGACCCGATCGGCTGCAAATTGATGTGATCACTCTAGTAACCTAAATGCCGATATGATTAGGGCAATTTAAATGAGTTCATATCATAGAAACCTTTTTTTCTGCCGCTGTGAGCAGATATCTTCAACGATTTCCTTCCACAATTCCAGATGCGTCAACAGTACGCCGATCTATTGGCACGTCGTGTTAAATCTTTGGTGCCGAATTTATTTGCACTGTTGGGATCCACACTACCTCAGACAGCGTCGACCGGACCAAATAGTTCCACTTCGACTACCAAGCTTGCAAACAGTTTATCAGCGCCTCTGGTTGCCGCCCGTCTAATTGCCAATGCTGGGTCCGTGACCCGTCTGGCCAACATGCCCACGTCACGTGTTCTTTCCTTGGGCGCATCTAAAGCTCTTTTTAGGTAAGGGGTATTAATCCGCCGTCAAATCTAGTGCCATCTATCTTCCTCCGTTTTTTGCTGTAGAGTCTTGCGCAGTGTTCTCAAATTATTCTGCCCCCTTTTGCTTATTCCGTGACTACTTTTGTCACTGAGGACCTTGACGTGTATCAATTTCACGCGCCTTTTTTCTTGCACCTTCCCGGAACCGTGTTACGGTTGTATACTTCAGTACACCACTTATGCCGCAAATTCAAGCGTGTTGTGAGTAGTGTGTAAGAATCCATAGACAGCTCACGCTTTTTGTTGCCTATTGGATAGGCGTATTTGATGTTTGTGCTTCTTCTCACGCAAAACCCAAGTGAATGCAGTCGTTGTAGAAAAGGAGTTAGTCAGTTGGGAGGAATGAGAACGATAGTGCTCGGCGGAATCCTGCGTTTCATTCGCTCAACGCTGCGACGTCCAACGGGCTGTATTCGCACCACGTTGGTCTAGCAAACGGACCGGCAAAGTTAGTCCGACAGGAGGCTGGGCTCTGATCGGTTGATAAAATGGATCCAATGGTCGGTTGTGCATCAGCATGTGCTCCCCATCGCTGGCCGACACTAATTCAGCATCCGGAAGGTCTATGGATTTCCAGAATGTCACTGCATTTTCCTGCTCATACACTGTTTTACCTCGTTGGGGCGTGTAGCACGCTGGGTGCTTGTTCTGCTGAGCTCGGAGATCGTACTGCTAATGATGATGGCCGACAGCCAATGTGGTAATTTCCATACAGGACCTCCAACGTCGATCGTCGAAATTGAAATCCGCGATTCTAGCCACCCGACTGTACAGCCTCAGAACGATAGTCGAGCTGATGCATAGTTGGTGTTTCAGAAACTAATGATATTTCATCGCCATGGATTACAACGCACTGGACCAAAACCATCGCAGAATATAGGGTTGCGTGGGATTCTGTTTGCAATATACGACTAATTACTTCAGCGACCGAAGTCGGGAGTTTTGTAAACGTCAGCACATTTCTCTATTTTTTAATCGTACAAGAACCTTAATCTCCCTTCTAGGTTTGCCGCCTGCAATCCAACAAATGATTTACCTATATGCTACAGCATGTGTAGAATACTAATCCGTCGGAACCGGAGGTTGACAGCTTAGAGGTTTTCGAGTCAGGTGGTTGGTGAGTATCACCGGTCGTCGTAGTAGTGGCTCTTCACATCCTCGATTGCTGTCGAAATGATGTATGGGAGACTGACTGCCTCGGTCTCAGTAACCCTTTTCTATTACTGGGAAGTTCAAATGCACAGTTGGGGGATGAATGATACCAACCCAGCACACGAGTGATTCAATTGACACAATCTTCACACATCACGGGAGACCATGCTGATGGCCTACTTCAGGGTCGAGTAATCTATCTGTGCAATTAGTTCAACGGACTTCTTGTCTGGTGACCCATCTTGCTGACTCTTGACACCCTTCTTCTTTTAATACTCACTCTTCCGCAGCCTCAGTTGCAGTCACTTCGGTTAGGTACCCATGAATGCGATGAATTACACGTTACCATCAACATCTAATGTATCATGTCCGCTTTTCAAACTTGGTTATCTCGTTTTTATTGTATTCTGTGATATGTTAGCTCTTAAGCGAATTGGCAAGCAAGATGCCTTTGTCCACACTCTAGGTACCTTATCAGTGGACATTTTCTGCGTTTCTGGAATGCGAATACAAGCTCCAGTAATTGTGCTTATGGTACATTTACTTTCTAAAATTTATTGGTAACAGAATTCGGGTGACTCTGCAACCGCTACAGCAAGTTGTTTGAATGTTGATATAGCCCTCCGTTCGCACAATCAGGCTTTCTTGCCCATTAGAGTATCCGTAACTAGCCGATTCTATGCGGTCAGAGTTTTCATCGACCTTGTGAATGATGTTATGCGAAGCGAAATGCTTCAGTGTCTCGATCATCACTCCATTGGGTAGCCTTTGTGAAGCACATTCGATTGAAGAATGTCAAAAGCGAGACAGGGTGGTTTAATAAAGTGGATTTGTTTTTGTCGCAATTTAACATTGGTTCCGTTTGTATGGTCCTCCTAGTCTTCTCGATAATTGGAGACGCTGCAATTCCACTTCTCGCTCAGTACTGTCGTTTAAGATTGATTTCCGTTCCCCGACCTCCAACTCTTGTACTACATATGAATTAGGGTACGATTTACTTCACTCCTGTATCACATTGTGGTGATGGTGATTCCAAAACAGCAATAAATCATAGAATATATCGGTTTTTAATTTAGGCTTATACAATTTTGCGCGATAGTGTGAAAAAATCCGGTCTTCCTAAACATGATAATTCAGCCTTCAAGGTTTCATTTCTGCTTACAGAAAAAGTGGTGCAGTGGCTGCAGTGTCTACTGGATTGCTTAGTACTGCTGCCATGGACAAATTAACTGCAGTATCTGATGAAACCACCCCTTCAAACGAACAGACCTCTCCTGGAAAGCCCAGTCACGCACTCACTTCAAGCGAGTTGAAATATGTGAGTGCTAATCGTTTGCAACCGACTACGGTGCGGCGGCGTGCGGCTCGGTTACTGGCATCCAAATGTTCGTTAGCTTGTCGGGCTGACTGTTTCCGGTGTCATAATCCTGCCGAGCTGCACATAGCCAATGATGGCAGCAGTGCGTGTCCTTCGGCCGAGTTTGAAGATCCTCGTCTGACCAGTGGTCTTTACGGAACGGAACTCGGTCATGATGTGCGTCGACAACTGCGTGTGTGGGCTGAAACTAACGGAGTACACCCGGAGCGTACAGAAGAACAAATTAAAGTATGTTTTTCCCTGTCTCAGCTAAAATCGAACCGTGCATCTTCTCACAGGTTGTTGTGTCGTCTCCGTTTTTGCCTTTTCCTACTCAGGAACACCTCACTACCGTTCTCATCCACGGTTAATAATGTATCGACTTTGCAGCGAAAAGGGTGATAGTGCATCTAGGTATGTTTCAGATTGTGGTTGCGCGTAATTCAAATCGATCGCCGGAATTTACCGTTTTCAAAAGTACGGCCTAAAAACATCAGTAGCTCTCGAGATATATTAGTGTAGCAGTCTCTCAAGAGAGTGCGGTACTAGATTATTAATAAATATAGGGTGTTCGACGAACCTCCGGGCATGCTGTCGCATTAGCTTTCGCCCTTTGTGTGAGTAATCAGGTCAACCGCTTTACGAGCGATGAATGGAGACTGAATCTGTTTGATATTTCACCGGGTTATCTGGTCCAGGATTTCGCCAGTGCAAGAAGACCCTGTGCCCCCAGACGCTTGGTTGAGAAACTCAAACCAGTTTGCAGCGTTCTTCACGAAGTAATCTTTGGGCTTAAGTTAAACTGTCTGCCAATTACAACTTGGGTAATGATGGGATCTCTTTGTCAGGCGGCGTTTTTCCGAAGAGGGTTTGTTATTTCTGCATTTGTGCGATGTTCCTAGAATAGACTACCTCCACAAGCCACAGGAAAGTATTCCGTAGTATGTAAAAATAAATCAGGCATGTATAAGTACTGTTTTAGTAAGCTTTACGTTTCCGTAGTGGTGGCTTCGTTTTGATGCTTCCACCAATTTGGGAAACTTTTCACTGGTACGGCGAAGGAGACTGTGAAGTGATTTTCGCATCATTTCTTACGAGCCAGAATCGCCCAACAACATACTGTAGGTCCTTTTCCCGAATTCATCATAAAAGTATGTTGATGAACAGTATATTTCTATTTGCCCATCTAGATACAGCGCGAACGACGAAAAAAGTACCGTAAGGTCAAACGAAAGGCCTGGCTTGTGCGCAAGCTTTCTTGCGCAGCCGGTGGTCACGCTGATGGTCCTAATACTGTCACCACGATGGATGGATGTCCTAAGTTGGAACGAATGGATATAGATTCAGATGATTATCTGGTTCCCGAAAGTCAAGTGAACGTAAATAGCGGCAACCCAACGCCTTCTTTTCTATCAGAAACTCGGAATGCCCCTCCAGCGCCAAAAAGGAAATCACACGCGGCATGCAAATCTTCAGTGAATGCAAACAAAGCCTCTGGTCGCATTAAAGCAAAGCGAGTTGTCTCTGTGAACGGGTGATTTGAACACTTACTTTGTTCAATGTATATATTTCCAGAGTCTACTTGTACGATGAGCGCTCATTTTATTGTTATCCGGAATCGGCCTTCTCTTGCCATTGGACAATGATAGATTCGTAACCCGTAACGATACTCATGCATATTAGACCGTCATTTTGAATAAGTTTGACTACGCGGTGTGCTAGGCAGCCGAAGTCAAAGATGACTCCACTGTTGCTCGACTCGTAGTTTGGGTTGCCGTATTAAGTCGAACATCTGTAAACGGGCATTACGGGTAAATCACGATGGCAAATTTCCATTTTCCGGTCAGACCTTTGTTCTTTCGCCGAGAGGTCGGACGCACACCAACACTTAAGGAGGAATGGCCCAGCATAGTCCACTCGGGCCGCATGGTAGTTCATCACATCGCAAGTTTTTGTCATGCCATAAACCACTTACACCGTTGTTGTATAGTATTAGTGTAAACCTTTAATTTATGCGGTTTCGATCCTTTTGAACCCGAATTCGGCTTCTGATGGAAGAATATTACAATATCAAAATAGTAAAGTCTAAAAAAACATTGTGTGGCATACAGTTTTGCCTAAATTTCGGAGACTGCAGAAATGCACTTAAAGAAAGCATTCTTCTAATGGAGATTTCGTCCATAAGTTAACACGGTCTATAGTGAAAACCCGAGAAGCAATACAGCTCTTGCATCCGTCTTCGGATCCACCAGCAGTGCATATCTCACAGAACTTTAAGGAGTTTCCAACCTTCGACATCCGGATTAGTAGTTTGAGCACAACATTCCGGCCCCGAGTGGCTGGTTGGTCGTTTGAATAATTCACAAGACAGCATAGATTGACCTCACTCACAGGTCGAAATCTCCACTGGAAACTCGTGAATTTCCCTCCACAAAGAAAGCATTCTTTGTCTCCCCGAAAGGAAGGAGTAAGCTGACTAGTATGGGAGCGTTACTGACCGGTACTCTCGTCACACTTAGCGCCAGGACCTCCCACCTTGACTGATTATTCGCACACTCCGACTACCCAGCAGTTGACTGTTGCGACCACATCGGGATTGGAACACTCATCGCTTGCTACCTGTGCCCTCTTGCCGGGCCAACCCTCTACGGCCAACTGAGTCACAGTATTGATTGATTGGTCCAGGCCGGAGCTTCCTAAGGAAACCCAGCAAACCACTGGCTCACGTTTTGAATTTTCAATTCGAAGGCGGGTGTGGGGCTTATGGACAAAACCCTTCGTTTTTGCACGTTCTACTGGGTCGAACTTTCGGGTCAACGATCCAAACAAACTTACTTCAACCTGGGAAAGCGATTGGTATCATCCGCCTCGCTACTGTTTGCTCAAAGATCCCTACCAACATCCCTCTAATGCCGCAATCGGGCGTTGATGGTTTCTATCGGATATCTGACTAATATGATCCGCTTAACGCACCACCCACGAAAATAAAATAAGAACGATACTGTATCATCATCTTTTCTCTGTCCGCCAGGCCAGCAGATGTCGCATTTCCAAGCTCTGATGTATCTGTTTATGTCTCCTGAACACGCATACAGGGCTTAAGTTCGGTAATACGACTGCGGCGCCTGATTTTTCGCACTTCAGCTTTCGGGTTTCGGAATTTTCTGAAGGCTTGCCTCGAGTTACATTCGACAGTGGAGTTGCAAACATTTTCACGACTGAACGCACTTTACTGGACTGGATTCTAGTAAACAATCACCCGTTCACTGTCTGTTTGTCCAACTCAGATTCAATGCACTCGTGCTCGTTTGAACTGAATCAAACTCCACAGAGGGGCAATCGATATTGTTTTTTTAATATAACTTCACTTCATACACCATCAAACCAAAATCTGTAATCATAAAACTGGTCCACTGTTCTTGTAGATGAGTCGATTGAAAGATTCGTTTGCCCGGGTAGTTGAATCAGTCCAGATGGTCCGGATAAGATGAATTCACCCTTTGAATGAGGAAGTTAAGGACAGCTTTACCAACCTACGGTATCTGTGGTGTCAGCCCAACACCTGAAGTTTACAGTACTGTGCTTAACACCTCATACGGGTTGGCGATCGGTCAGTAGGAAAAAACGTTGAAAAACCTGTTCGACCCACACTATTTACGAAGTATCGGTCGTCCCGCGGGAACATCAGATCAGTAATACTGAGGCACGTCGAACGGTTCCCAGGTAGTAAACGAAAGAGACAGACGAACTGATTACAGATCACACTAACTGGTTTGTGTTTCCAATACCAGCAGACCCGCTCTCCAGGGGGTCCAGTCCCTTTTAAGCTAACCGCATGGTGGACAGAAGCGTTTAAAGAAGCACGAACGCTAGCAGCCAAACTAATGTCAGCAGCAGCTGCTATATCCTTGGAATCAAATTCGGACCCAAGGTAGTCCATGGTTAAGGTGTCAATTTACTGATCGGAAGGCCCGTGATTCAAAGCCAACTTCGGCATCTCAGCCAACCGTAGGCTCAAGTAGCCTGACAGTATCTCAGCCCTCAGGTTTCATTTTGGTCGCTTGACAGCTATGTACTGAAAGGGTGTTGCAGCTCAACGACTGTCATTTTTAGTTATTGGATTAGAATTCATAAACCGGACATATCAGTGTTCCTGGGCACCTGACAGCCAGTGGCGTTCAGTGCCCAAGCTAATCTCCTCAATGTGCATGTATTCCGTTCCGCACTCGACCAAAAGTCCCCTAAACACAGTAACTATCGCGATCCGATTTTCCCAGAGTGCAAAATCCAATGGTCCATTGGATTTTCCGAAGACACTTGTGGAAAGTATCGCAATAATCCATTTTCTGATTACTCTTACAGCTTCACACCACACGAAATAAGACAAAACAAACTCGAGCTTTTATTTCCGTTGCTCCAACGAGGCCCACCACACCTAAGGGGAATTCTTATACACCGCGGGTAACATCGTCTGACTGTTCACTCAACCGCCGTCGTGTGGTTGTGATACCGAATCCCATAAAGTCGTTTCTTTACTTGTCTGATCTCCTGTACGGGATTGTTCATGTCCCCGTGGTTTGTAAAATATAGTGCTCTAGGCATGGTCGCCTTTATAGTTGAACTGCCCATGATGAGTTTTGGTTTCATCAGCCTAGACGTCAACGTTAACTTGTCTAGCGTATAGAGGATTGCTTTCACTCGCAGTCATTGGCTCAGTAAATTCGACCGGATTTTGGCAGTCCTTCAGGACAGCAGAGAGGTTTGCTACCAAATGACATTCCTTCAGCCTGTCATTGGTTACCCTGTTCATTTACTTTGAGGAACTTTGCACATTTATTAGGTTGAATTTTCAGTTGAAGGGGCTGTGTTGCGATTTTTTTTATTTGTACGACCTTTATCTTCTGCGTCACTGCATTCAATTAGTTTGACCGGATACCAGACGATGACCAACATTGTGTCCATCATCACCGAATCACGCTTCTAATTTTATTCGCACGTTACTTGGTTTCATAGGCTAAAATAATTTAAAATTTCTATTCCTGACGTGCGATACACAATCGGAAATGACAGTGTTCGTCCAGGCTCCACATATTTTGTCCAGCTCAGTTCTTTAAACTCGGTCACGAATTAGATTGAAGGAGCGGAGCGGATCACATGTTGAAAATTTCACAGTAATCCCATTCAGAAAACCCTGTGGTTCTCGAAACTAGCACCAAGCGCAAAATATGAAAACGGTCTTAGCAATCGAAGTCTCTCGAAATGAGCAAATTTACGTTATCATCATTGCTCTTTCCTCCTTCTTAGTTGGTAACAATGTTATCCCAATTTGTTTTCTAAAGTTGACGCAAGCTATTCGACAGCCTAATACTCTTCTTAGGCCCATGATAACTCGTATATATATATATATATATATATATATATATATATATATGTATATGGGGGTACCGCACAATTGACGCATCGAATTTTTTCCAACTTTTCTTAGTGATAAACGTGATCCTATCCTCCAAGCTGACCGGTCATCTGAAGTAGAGATCCCTGAAAACTTCAGCCTCCTAAGTTTTGAATGAATCAGTCCCTCAGGTTGTGAAACCGGAGAGTTTTGCACCGATGACTGTCTATCCCGAATTGTGTACTGCCTCGATAGCATTCTGGAACGCGACACCACCAAACTTGAACTTGTTTCTTAATATGCGTCACTGAGTGTGTGAAACCATCACATCTGTCCCCCTGAGATCTTCCGAACTATGCTTCGTCACTCGTGTTTTTTCGTACACATGCTCCTCAGCTACTCGGTATCTGTCTGCCACCAACCGCCTCGATTTTTCGAGCCTGATATATGGTACCGCCACATCTCAAATGCGTTTTGTCTATTTGGCGGTAGTTTGATTAAGGTATTACCTGACGGTGCGTTTCAACCTATTGAATTTATTCCAAACTCGGTGGACGTTCCTCCTACAAACGTACCATGCAGACCTATTTTCGTTCGTTTAAGCAAAAAACTCATGCTGTATGGGCGCTGATGGGGTTTCGAATACACTGATGACCGACGCTTCTGTGACCCTCGTAATCAACACAGCAAAATATGTTCACTAGTGATCAGGTCAACAAATTATCTGAGGCTCAGGGTTGAAGTCACTCATTATGGTGTTTCCAGGTTGATATCGGTCGCCGGCACAGTGCTGTTACAGTCACATCACATGTAGAAATTGAGCTCCACGTAGACACAGCTGATACCAACCCGATTCCTCCTTTTCCTTCGTAAATACCCACTTCAGAACTCCCTCTCATTCCCTTTTTCTACCATTCATCATCAAGAATGTTTAAGAATCCCCCTTGGCAGTCGGCTAAGTATATTCGTTCTCATGTGATCAGATTGTATAGATTCACACTTACTGACGTCCATCATCTGTACGACAGCAAACTTCAGTAGGTAAAATTGCTCGATTGACATTTTTGGTAGCTAAGCTTTTTGTTTACCTGATGGACGTTATGCCAAGGTTTGTTGCCTGTTCATAAATGCAGCCGCCGCCCGGCTCAATCTTGCTTCTACCTTCGGTAATCAGCATGCTGGAATTCGAGTATTTCAGAATCACATACAATACCCTTCTTTTCC